TTCTTTTTTTTGCTCGGAGATGAAATCACACATTCTTTGAGGCTTTGAATGTAGCTGCTTTGACTTTTTTGTCTTCTGAGTTTGTGTTTTGATCTTCTCTATCACCATAGTATCTTTTTATGATTAAGTTCTTTTTTGTTGTTTCCTCCTTTTTTCAGCCTTTTCTTTTTTAAACTTTATGTTAAAGTTGTGCTCTTCTCCTAGTGTTGAGGGGGCACTGTCCCAAACTTCAGATTTTTGTACAGCTATTTTCAGAGTTAGTTCTGGGAATCTTTCAGTTTTCACTTCTTCCAAGGGGATATTATGTAAGGAGATGTGTGGTCACTGCTCTCCTGGCCTGTGCTCTTGTCTGTGATGACCACAAACATTTTTTTCTGCCCTGAAACTATGACTAGAGTCCCTGCTCCCCTTTGTCCATATGCTCTAGTGTGCTTTTACTCCTTTTCACCCTGGGATTGTGATTATGAATCATGTATGGGCAATGTGCCCAGTGCTAACAATGGGTCCTTTATAATCTTCTGACCAGTTTTCTGTCCCTCTCATTATCTGTGGGCTGAAGGCACTAGAAGATGCTGCAGCAAATTCAGTAGACTCTAATGCATATTGCTGGCTTGATGGGGTATGGCTTACACCGGACTGCACTCCATTCTCACCTCAATGAGACAGATCTCTCCTACCATCCTTCTAAGTTGTCTTCAGCTGGAAAATTTTTCACCCTATTGTTGGTTCTATCAATCCAGAATTCATTTTGAGGTGTTATTTTAAAGTTTTTTGGAAAGGAGTTTGGAAGAATTCAGGCAAATCCCTGCCTTTACTCTGCCATCTTGGCTCTGAGCCAATATCAATTTATATTAAAACACTTTCAAGCATAAGAATAAATTAGACTTTCTTAACACAGTAAACTTTCTATTTAAAGTAAAAAACTAGCTTCATTTTAATGGAAAAATCCTAAAGGTCTCACCAATAAGAACAGGGGTAAATCAAGGACATCCATTGTCACAGTTGCCTAATATAATTCTAGAAATGCTAAGTATAACAGGAAGACAAAATAAAAAGGGAAATGGGGAAATATATGCAGGCAAAAAGAGAGTCATTGCTTTTTGCAAAGGATAATATGGTTTAATTGAAGAACTCTATAGACTCAACTAACATTAATTGAAGCAATAATTTTAATAAGTTAGTAAAATACAAAATAAACATACAAAAACCTCAGCTTATCTCTATATAACTGATGAAACCCAGGAGAGAGAGAAAAAAGAAATCTTGCTCACACTACTAAATGAATAAAATATTTAGAAGATGACATATGAATAAAATGAAAACACTTTACAATATTTAAAATATTTGGGAGTGTATCTACCGAGATACACCCAGTAACCACACAAATCTAACTGCAAAACATTGTTTAGAGATAAATAGGCCAAAATTCAGAAATGCCAATTGCTTATCAAGCCAATTTAATAAAAATGACAATACTGTCTAAATTAATTTATCCAGTCCTCTACTAATCAAACTGTTAAAGAATTCTTTTATAGAGCTAGAAAAAGGAACATTGACATTCATTTGTAGGAGTAAAAGGTCAAGAAGCTCCTGAGTAATAAAGAAATGATTAGTGAAAAATGTAGAAAATGAACATTAAAATGAAATAGAATGGATTCAATTTAATAGGTATTGGCTTACTAACACTCCTTTTTTTTTTGACAGGGTTGCTAAATTACTAAACTATAAATATAGTTTACCAAGGTTTTGCAAAGAGTTTGGCAAAAACTCTCTTTTTTACTCTTGTGGGAAAAACTGGAGAAATCTGGGTCAGATGATAATATTGTTAGATGTGTTCAAAATTGACTGAATGGGTAGAGTGTCATTAATGGTTCAATGTCAGTTTGGCAAAGAATCTCTCAGGAAACTGTTCTTGCCCCTGTGTTGCTTGGCATTTTCATCAAAGACTTAGATAAAGGCATAGATAAAATGGTTATAAAAAAACTGCAGATGACACAAAGCTGGGGGGGATAACCAGATTTCATAAAACCAGGTCCAAATTGGTCCAAATTGAATATGAGGGAACAACAAGGCCAAAGGAAAAGTCACACATTAAGGTAAGATAGTTAGACTTTGCAAATGAAAGATGTATACATGGTCACATAGCTATATGAAAGAGATCTGAGAGATTTAGTGCACTTCAAGCTCAATATAAGTCAACAGTTGTTTTAAAGGCACAAGCATGAATGTGATTTTGGGCTGCATTGAAAGACATGACTTCCAAGAATAATGAGGTCTTAGTCTCATTGTATTCTGTCCAGATCAAATCACTTCTGGAGTATTTTCTTTAGCTCAAGACTCCAAATTATAGGAAGGAGATTGATAACCTTGAGAACATACAGAGAAGGGCAACCAGGAGAGTAAAGGCTCTCCCTTCTATGCCATATGAGGATCAGTTGAAGGAACTATTTATCCTGGAGAAGATTAGACTTGGGTGGAAACATGATAACTTTAAGTACTTGAAAAGTCTTTATATGAAGGAGATATTAGACTTATTTTCTTTGGCCTCAGAAATCAGAACTGGGAACAGTGGGTTGACATTGGAATAAAAGAGAATTTAGACCCAATGTCAAGAAAACATTCCTAAGAATTAGTAATTTGCATAAGTATAAGGGACTCTCTTTGAGGCAGTGGGTTCCCTCACTTTGAGGACTACATGACCTCTTGCTGGATGTCACTTACTGGGGAGACACTTTTAATGTATGAGTTGCACCTAACTGCAACTGAACTGAAGTTCTATAATCCTGATAAAATGCCTAATAAAATCATAAAATATTCCATAACACATGTAACTGAATTAAGTGATTTTCTGAGTATCATCATCTGACAAGGCATCAAACAGAGACATGCTTAACAAAGGCACTTAACAATATTAGAGAAAACAATTTTTATTATGTACAAATGGAAAAAATTTCTCATTGATATTGCAGTTCTTTATATGTTCCTGCATGTCTATGGAGTTGTGCTGATTATACGTTTTTTCCCAATTTACAATAAATAGCGGGAAAGGCCGTCTTTTTGTAGTTCATCAGTACATAAGCTAAAAGGCTTGGGAAGACATGATCAATGCACAATGAACTGGACCCAGAACTGAATAAAAGGAAATTGTATAAGATTTTAAGACATCATTTTGAGAAGTGATCCATAGGCTTCACCAGACTTCTAAAGTTGATCATGATACAAAAAAGTTTAAGAACCCTTACTGAAATTTGACATTTCCCTCTATGGTGGGTGATAGCTCATAAGAAATCAGACTTTAGACAGCTCTTTTTGTTGATATGGAAAAATATGGACTTCTCATAGATGAATTTCCAATTTGAGATTTCAGCTCAAAATATGGAAAATTCCTAATAAATAGAAAGTACACAAAATACGTAATGAGTTCATTGGAAGTAATGATCTCCCTGATTAATTGTAGGGTTATTGGGGATGTTGTAGAATGAAGTGAAAATATGGGTGTTTTGGACTAGGTAACTTCTTATGTCCATTTCAATTCTAAAGCTCTTTCATTAAATGACCTTCATTTAATCATTAAATCTCCCATTGCAATGTTCAAGCAAAACTGATACACAATTAATTTTTCTGCTAACTTGTGTTTGGTGCTTACTTATATCTTACTCTTAACAAGAACTTAAAATGTTATATAGAATATGTTATGAAAAGGGAGATTTTAAAAAAGAAATACTTTTACTACAAAGATTGTGTTTGATTAGCCTCATTTCCTTTATTGACAGGGATTCTAGAATTGGGATATAGTGCTACACTTTGAGTGGTATTGCATGTAGGATTATAGAGATCATATCATTAAAATTTGCTTTGATCAGGTAACATCTAGAATATTGTATTAAGTACTGGTCATTACATTTTAGGAAGGAGGTTGATACACTATGGAGTATACAAAAGAAGGTGACTAGGAGGATGAGGGATGTTGCGGTCAAGCCATATGAGAATAAGTTGAATGTAATGGGGATATTTAGCCTTGATTAAAAAAGATATGGAGGGTACCTAATTGTCTTTAAGTATTTCAAGAAGGTCTTTATGTAGAAGAGAGTTTATATTGAATGAGCTCTTTGAGAGTAAGGACTATATTTTCATACTATATTCTTTGCATCTTTAATGCTTAGCACAATGCTTAGTGCATTATCAAGTAAGTACTTGATAAATGTTGATTTATTGACTGATTGCTTAGACCAAGAAGATTGAACTAGAAGCAAACAATGGAAATTGCAGAAAGAAGACAAATTTCCTCACATTGTTATTTCCTTAAATACTTATAGGATAAGAGCTTAATAGGTAGTAGGTTATTCTCACTGTATATTGTGAAGTAAAGGCTGAAAAACCATTTTTTTGGTATATGGTAGTCTAGATTATTGGTATAGTATGAGATGGACTAGTTGACTTCTGAAATCTTAGTGCTAACTCTGACTTTATTTGGTTGTATAATCTGGCTACATTATAAACTCCTGGAGAATAGAAGTCATATATAATAAATAAATAATATTTATTATTTTCTTTTCTGTAGACCTAGCACATTGGCCATGGTTAACTGAATATATAAATGTAATCCACATTTTTACAAAGAATTCAGATTTTAACAACTGTTTCTAAAATCTACGAAATCACAGTTTAAGCATTTAGAAGCAACGAATGGAAATTACAAAGGTAATTTCTTAACTAACAATAAATTCTGAGTAGTATGTGTGTGGGGATATGTGCAACAATATAACAAAATATAGCACAAAGCCCAAAAAAATCAAGCAAAGGTGGAGGTGGGGAATTAGCAGGCCCTAGTAGTAGATCTATGCTTCAGAAATAATTATTCTGCATGAAAAAAGATAAGGATCACATGTAAGGTTTCCCAGTCACTCTTATCCTACTGATACCAAGGATAGAGATGATGGGTTTGAATATAGAGGACAAGGTTCACACCCACAAATGAAGTCAACTGTCAGCCTCATATTTCATATTCTCCTTAAGTATAGATTTCTGAGTAGGACTTTCTTCACACCTTCTTTTACTTCCTTGTTCCTCAGGCTGTATATGATGGGGTTCAACATTGGAGTGACTGCCCAGTAAGACAACCCAAAGATTTCATCAAAAAGCTTAGTGTCCTTAGAATGGGGCTTCATGTACATGAATAGAGCAGATCCGTAGAACAAGATCACCACAGTCATGTGAGCTGAACAAGTGGAAAAGGCTTTTTTCCTCCCCTCAGTAGAATTAATTCTCAGGATAGTAGAGAGGATGAAAACATAAGAGAAGAAAATAAGCAGCAGAGGAGTGATTAAGATAACAATGCCTGCAATTATCATAATAAATACATTGAGGGAAATGTCTACACAGATAACCTTCAAAATAGCAAGAATTTCACAAGCAAGGTGGTCAATAATGTTTTCACAGAAAGGCATTATCAGGGCAAGCACAGATTGTATCAAGGAGTTCAGAAATCCTAGAATCCAGGCCCAAGCAGCTATCTGCACACAGAATCCCTTGTTCATGATGATGGTGTATCTTAGGGGGTTACAGATGGCTACATACCGGTCAAAAGCCATTACTGCCAGCAGCAGACACTCTGTGGATCCAAGCCCAAGGGAAATAACCAACTGGAGGGCACATCCGATGAAAGAAATGGATTTTCTTTCAAATGTAAAATTAACTAGCATTTGAGGGATTGAAGAGGATGTGTAGCAGATGTCCAGAAAGGAGAGGTTCCCAAGAAAAAAATACATAGGGGTATGGAGATGGGGATCCAGGATGCTGATGATAAGGAGGATACTGTTTCCCAGTAGAATCACCAAGTACATCAATAGGCAGAACACATAAAGGAGCATCTGGAGGCTTGGGTAATTAGAAAGCCCCACCAGAAAAAACTCTGTCACGACTGTATAATTCCCCTTTTCCATTTTATTGTATTTAGGTCACCTAAAGAATTTAGGGAAAGAGACAGCTCATGTAAATTGCAATGATAAGTAATGGTGAGTTACATTCATAATTTTTTTTAACTTTTTCTCTTTTATCCAATATAATATTTGATTTTATTACTATTTTCTTCGACAAGTTAAAGTTATTCACATATAAACAAAACTACTAAAAAGAAAACAAAAAATGAGTATGCAATGTCACATTTGAGATTAAGGTACAGTGAGGCACAATGTTCCAAGTGCAATCAATTTATTGGCAAGGCTAGAAATTACCACTAACTGAGTTCTCTCACCTCCTCACTAAGTCAAAAGATTACGAGGTGAGGTGAGTTAGGCTTTTTATAATTTTTCTGGGAAGCACAAAAGAAAAGTACTTGGCACTCGATGTGTGAGGGAGAGTGAAGACTTATAAGTGATTAATAAATTTCAAATTACTGGTGATTGGGAGAGTTAACAAGTACATCAATAGAAATAGAAAAACTGAAAGATGGGCAAGATTTTGTTTGGAAGGAGGATAAGTTCAGTTTTGGAATGTTGAATTTAGGGAGCTGGCATAAGGATATATATGTTGGACAAGTGAATATAGGAGATAGGAGCTTTTTAGGATTAGATGGGAATTGGGGATAGACTTAGGAATCATCTACAATTCAGCACTTCTTAAACTGTGGGTGGTGACCCCATATGGGGTCATATAACTGAATGTGGGGGTTGCAAAAATTTGGCAACAGTAAAAGGTTTCTGAAAGTGCAATGACCAAAAATTATTTCAAAATCAAATGCATAATGATTCTGAGGTGTTTCTGGCAGTTCTTGCCAGTATTGCATCACACGACTTCACTGCAGCCTTGGTTCTGAACACATCCGTTGACAGTTATAAAATCAAAATATCTATCAACTCTGAAAAACATTGAAGATGCTCTATGTCCTGCAGTATCAAATATTCCACCAAGATTTAATTCTTTATATAAAAATAAGCACGTCCATCCCATTAACATGCAAATTTGTTTTCAACTATAATAAAGCAAAATTATATACATAACAAAGAATTGTTTTAAATAAATTTCTTCATGATTTATTATCTGTACATGTTTGATTTGTATATCTATTTTATATGTGTATATACCCAGGGTCGTGTAAAAATTTTTCAGGCAACAAGGGATCATGAATGGAAAAAGTTTAAGAAGCCCTGACTACATAAAGGAGTTAGTTATAGTAATAGGAGTAAATGACATCACCAGAACAGAAAGTGTAGAGAGAAAGGAGAGACTGAACCATGAAAACTTTATTTAAGGGATCTATAGATGTTGAAGAGCCAGCAAAGAGAGTTGGGTTGAATACAGAAGAGGAGGACTATGAGAATAATGTCATCAGTGCTGAGGGAGTAAAACATATTGAGTAGAAGTTGGTGGTCCACAGTATCAAATACTTCAACAAAGTTAAGAATATGACAGAATACATGTAATTTGATCTGTCAATAAGTTGAACATCAGTTACCTCACTTACCTCAAAGCAGGGGTTTTTAACTTTTTTTTTGTCTCATGGACCATTTTGGCAATTTGATGAAGCCTATGGAGCTCTTCAGTGGTGAGGTGGCACAATGGATAGAGTGCCAGGCCTGGAGTCAGGAAGACTCATCTTTGTGAGTTCAAACCTGGCCTCAGACTTTTACTAGTTGTGTGATCCTGAGCAAGTTACTTAACCCTGTTTGCTTCACTTCCTCATTTGCAAAAAGAACTGGAGAAAGAAATCACAAACAACCCTAGTACCTTTGCCAAGAAAATTCCAAATTGGGTCATGGATAGTTGAACCTGAATGAAAACTACTGTACAACAACAACAAATGAACCTCTTTTCAGAATAATGGATAAAATAAGACACATAGAATTACAAAGGAAACCAATTGTATTGAAATACAGTTGTCAAAATGTATGTAAAAAATCACAGACATGAAATTTTTCCTTGGACCCTTTAGGGATTTGTGGAGTCCAAGTTAAGAGCCTCTGCTTTAGAGAAAGCAATTGCCATAAAGATGTGTGGAAAGAAGCCAGATTATCAGAGTTTTAGGAGTGAGTAGTTTCTTAAGAAGTATAGACAAGTTTTTCAGACTCTGCTTTTTAGAAGTTTGACAATGAAGAGAGGTGAGGGGATAGCAAGGAAAGGTTTTTTATGTCTTTGTAAAATACTAAGACATGAAATTTTTTGAAGACAGAGGGAGATACTGAAGCTGCATAAGAGAAAGAGTGATGATTGAAGAGTGAGGTCCTAGAGGAAATGGGATCAATACCATAGGTATTGGGAAAGAGGAGGGAAAAAATGAAACTCTAACTGGATTAACTTAATGTATAGAATCTATACTATGGCAGGCAAAGTATAGCACACTCTATTCTTTTATGAAATGATTTAATATTTTTATCTCATTTGATTTGTAAAAATAACACTTTGAAGGAGGCATGGGTTGGTGTTATTATTATTTTAAATGTGAGTAAATACAACTTAGAAAGATGAAGTGCCTTCCTAAGCCATCTAACTCTCTATTTCAAAATTTCAACTTCACCTTTCTTTGGTCTTTTCTTGGAGTAAGCGTTATCTTCAGAATTCTGTGAATAAGTCTTCTGCCTGTGCTGTTAATATCATCTTCCCCTGTCCCTTTTTCCAAAGTCTTGCTGCATCAATGAGTGACAATTTATTTTCCTCTCTCCCTTTCCATTCTATTCTTCTCCTCTACCAACATGGATAGGTCTCCTGTACCATATAGGAAACTATTACATGGTTTTGTTAGCCTCTCAGTCAGCTGTCCGTTATATCTCTTTCTCCTTTTTTTGCCCCTGTTATTTGCTGATCTTCATCCTACACACCTTGTGCATGTCCCTTGGTTGGATGCATGTTCAGTGTATGTTTAGTACATTTCTGATCTGCCCCAATTAAATCTGCTAACCTTACCTCCTCCAAAAACAAAACAAAACAAAAACACTTCAGACCGTTGCTTTTGATCAATTCCTCTGTAGACTTACTATAATATATTCTCTCCATTTTCATAGGAGACAGGATGATTTATAAGCTTATACTCTTCTGTAAAATGGGGCAATAAGAGCGCCATCTTTACAGAATTGCTATGAGGCTCACGTGAGATAACATGTTTGTTCACTGCCAACCTTTAAGCATGATATAAATGCTACCTATTATTATGATCATTACACTTGCCTTACCAAGTATTCCCTTGTTTCTACATATGTTCTGGGTTCTTTTTCTGATTCTAGACCATTTCCTTAAACATAGTTGAGAAGCAAGAATCAAAGGACAGAGAATCATTTTTTTCTCTGAGATATTGTCCTTTGATTTAGATACTAAATTCTTCCATTCAGGAAAAGTGAACATAGAACGATAAAATATTAGAACTAGCAGAAATCATAGAATATACTACATTGAATGCAATACCTAGAAGGGACCTTACAATATAAAACACAGAAGGGAAGGACTGGAGGGAATATAAGAATATAGAATATAAAGTGAAAAACCTGAAAGGAAATTAAATGTTAGATCTAGAAGAGACCAAAAAACAGAACATAAAATATCACAGCTGAAAGGTACCTTAAAATAGATTATAGAAGTGGAATTGAAATGTAAATTGGCATATAGAATGCCAGAGCTGGAAGGAACCATGGAACACAGATAGATTCTTGTTCAAACAACTGATTTAACTGATGAGAAATGGAGACCCAAAGAGAATCTAAGGCTTAGTCGGTACCAATGATGTAATTTAAAAAGGGTGATTTGATTTTTATAATCATCCATGAGTGAGAGAGATAAGATTTCAAGTTAATAGGTTTTTTCTGATTCAGAAAAAAAAATCTTTCATGCCTCCCTCTCTGTTTGCTTGGAGTATAGATGACTTCCATATTAGGGTTTTTCATATGGTTCACCTGCCTGCCTTCCATTCCTACCCCTCTCAATATTTCTATCCTAATTTAATTTCCATTCCCAGTTCATATGATCACTTTCATCTCCTAGACAGTACCCATGATCCTCCTTTACCTTTTAGCTTAAAACAGTCTTCATCTTCTCCTCCATTTATGTCAAGTAATTTAGTTGCTGTTTTTTCCAGCACATGACAAAATATTGCCAGAATCAAGAGAGTTTTCTAACTTTTAATCTCAAGTTATTATATTGACTTGTGTGGAGAGGAATCCTATGTGTCTAGTTCTTCCTTCCATGCCTGCTATAGCCTGTGGCACCTGGAAAGTTTCAAAGGCTCAACTACTGGATCTGTATGCCAATTTGTCCCTCTTCCAGCCTCCCCACCGCCAATGTTTTTAGGGACTTTGTAATCCCTGAAGTAATTTAAAGTTGTAGGGAGGAACTGTGTGGGACTTAACAACTTTTAGAAAGTTTAGAAAAACTATCATAATGACTTGATTACACTAAGCTTATTAGGTTTCTAATTCTAACCTTTCCACCTATGCTGTTGATGTCATCCCTTTTTTTTTAAAAAAATCATCCCTCCCTCTAATCCTTGCTCCATCAAATATTTTAATTCATTTCCAACTCACGCTTTCAACAAGTTCTTTTGCCTCTGCAAAATGTTCACATCTCTTCTATCCTATAGGAAACTTGACCTTAATCATACCACCTTTTCAAGCTATTATTTTTTTCCTCTTTTACTGCCTCAACTTCTACAGCACCATTTTGGTCTGTTAGTTAAATCCATGTATCTCTTCCTCCCAAATAACATTCAATTTCCCATTTCTTTGTGTTGAATTGCCAATCCCCTAAGCCTAGAATGTATGTTCTCAAGTTTACCCCCTAGGATTCTTTTCCCACTTCAAAATACAACTTAAACACTATATTTTATATGATTCTATTCCTCATTTCCCTCTGACTTCTAGGGTACTGTAGTAACTAGATTGTGTCTATATAAGATTTGCATTCTTGAGGGTTGTCTTAATGTATTGATATCATTAGTGGATGGCATTGATAAATATAATCT